TTCAGCAGTTTTACAAATCTTGGTAAGCAGAGATCAGTGACAAGGCAATGTGATGCTATAAGAAGGCCTTTTTTAGACATTTCCTACAGTGTCTGCTGGGGAAAGACAACCACTTGGCAGCAGTTGCCTATAGCTTATCCATCCTGGCTGGAGTCCTTTGTCCTGCTTCTTGGCCCTGCAGTGGAGAAGCATCCTAAAGAGATGGAGCTTGTCTCCTCAGGGCCAATAGTTCTCCTCTTGTCCTTTAATGACCCTCCTGCGTAGGATGGGAGTGTCTTATCTTCAGCCATTGTTTTGTCTTCCTGTCTCTTTCCCAATGGCTTTGTTGATTTAACCTAATATATAGATATGGGGCACAGTATCAGTAATGACTCTGGCTTAACATGCTGGACCAGCTCCACTCCTCCAGGGCTTGGCTGAGTCACTTGGCCTTGGTCTTGGTGTGGAAAACTTGGATGGTGGCTCACTGCTGCGGCTCAGGTGATATCTCACTGTTTGCACAGCACTTAGCACAACAGGGGCTCGGATCTCTGTAACTATGCTGGGCTACCCAGTTAATGCTTCTCTCCTTCCCCTGATTTTTAAATCCAATCCTTTGTTCTTGTTTGTATCACCCCTGGAACAAGAGCCTCTTCTCTTACAATGCTTGTAAGCTTGCATCTTCCCCTCTCACTGATAGATGAAGATTATGGATATGCCCATTAAGTTCCCCAGGGAGAGTCTCTTTTCCAAACTGTGTAAGAGTGAGAGGTAGCAGTGGCGTAGAGGAAGAAGGATGCTCCTTCTAGATCCAGCTTCTGATTCCCTCTCATTTTCGGCCTCTTTGGATGTCTTAGGAAGAAAGTCATCACTGATCCCATGCCAAATATTTCAGGCTTAGTATGACACAGTGTTTGTTGGCTCTTTCGACCCAGCCCACAATTATACATGTTCTTCATGGTGCTCCTCTGAGTGCGTGGGCCTGGCAAAAGCTCTGAGCAAAGGCAGCTCCCGCCTACAGCACCCCATCCCTGAACACCCATGGGGTCATGTGTTGGCTTGGGAATATCCTCTCCTGACTCATGGCCAGGGCAGAGGAAGGCTTGCTGGGGAGCATCATTGGGACTGGGCTCCTTCCCCTGCACCCTGAGCTAATTGCGCAGGCGAGGCGCCCTGCCCTCCTGGCAGCACGCTTCTGGAGCCTGTAACGAGCTGTTCTGGTGTGAAGGAGACAACGTGCTGCTTTTGGCTGCTAAATCTGCTCTTTCCTCGGGATTATCTCTGACTGCCTGTTTTGGTCTCTCTATGGCTGTCCAGAAATGAGTGCTGGCAGAGTAAGCTGGACTGAGTTAAGTGGGAATTTGGGGTGAAGGTAAGGTGGGCAAACCCTACCCATCAGGTTAATGTGTAAACCACACCATCTATGTACCTGATATATGAAATGGTGTGCCCCTTTCCCTGAGCAGGGGCTCCTGAGGGGCTGGGAAAATGCTGATGTCTGCCAGGCTGGTTCAAAGTGGGGGTTGCACGTGCATGGTGAAGAGAGGCTGGTGAGATGTCAGGAGAGGGAGAGAGGTTTGTGATGGCAAAGATGCCTCACTTAAAAGAAAAGCCAAAGATCTCCACATCTACTCCATTGTCCTAGAGGGGCTGCTGGTGGAAGCACAGGGTCTCCAGCTGAGACAGGGCTCTTAGTCCTTGCTGAAGATGTGAGGCTGTTCCTGCAAGAACATCATCTCAGGGTGAGATCCCCACTGACATGCAGACACGGGCCTCTGGAAACCACAGTGGCAGACCGGTCCTTGCAGTGACTGTACCTGGGGCTTATACTGACAGTGCTTTACATCCCAGAAATATCGGAAAGAATTGCTTGGGCTGCATTTCCTACAGGAATAGAGTATTTTTGTTTCTTTTATTCCTTTCTAGACCATATGTGAGCCTTCAACTGATTTTGCAACTAGTCCTACATAGCAGAGTGATTGTGTAATTAACGGGAACTGGTGCGGCCCTATCTCTCTCTGGGACTCCTGCTCTCTTTCCCACAGTGATGGAGACAGACTCGTTCCCTCTCCCAGCATCTCACCTTCTCTGCTTCCCCTGCTGCTCTCCAGTGCCATGCAATGTGTTCATGGGTTCTACAGCCATCCCAGGTCCTGCAGTGGTGTGCATTTTTGCTGCAGAGATTTATGGTGGTTCTCCTAGCTCAAACTGTGCCAAAAAATAACAGATGAATCAATTCTTTGTTTTTCTTCCTGTGTCCACTGTACTCCTACTCGCTTCCTGCTGGGACCAGGAGGTTTGTTTCTGTGAAAGGATATGAGCAGCTGTGGGACTGATGCTGACCTTACTGTTCTTGGATATATGGTGTGACTCAGACTGATGCACGTGGCCTCAGCAGCGAGAGAGAGGAGAGGGGACTGGAGGCGCCTCTGTACTGCAAGGATTTCTCCTGAACTGCTCTTTCTCTTTCACAGCCTTTGTGCCTTTGACTAATAGTTTTCAATGGTCCCTGCCCCATAGAGATGGAGACAGTGACTCTGTCCATGTGTCACTTGGTGTACAGTTCTTTACCTTCTTGCAAGCTGTGGGCCCTGCTCTGCTCTCCACTCCCTGTTGTACTGCAGGACCCTGCTGATGCTGGAGGGAGGATGAGTTCTCTTGTTATACCTTGTATCTTTCTCAAAGATGAAAGCCAGGGAGAAGGGCAGGAAGCCTTCCCCAGAGGTCGAGTAGCCCAGACGTCTTGAAAGATTTTTCCAGGTGGAGTTCAGTACCAGGAATGTCTCTCCCTGGGAGCAACACAGAGCTCAGCCTGTTGCAATTAAGGGGCCTCTTTCCTCACTGCTTCACTTCTGGTGTTTCCAAACTATCACAGCACCTTAGACCAGTAAGAGCTGATGTCATGACCTCTCTCTGGTCCTGGATTTCATCATTCAAGCATGGGCTTTGTCAGCCTTGTTCACTGAAAGCCCCATTTCTGAAAGGCAGTCAGGCCTGGAATTGGGGTGGTAGTCTGCCGAGCGCTTGCAAGAGAAGAGGCTCATGTTGGCATCCTCGAGGAGACAAACCCAGGCGTGGAGCCAAGGCTCTCTTGCTGGGGGAATCAACAGCTTTTCCCTCTGCCCATCTACATGGAGGATCTTGCCTCTGGTAGATAGTGGTGTGCCCTTGCCTCTTTCCTTCCCCTCACCCAGCAGGCTCCTGTCTTCTCCTGGTGACAGTGGCTGCATTCCTCCTTGCCCCTCCTCACCTCCCTGGGGATCCCCTGGCATCTCTGCCTGAAGTAAGTGCCTGCTGTGATTTCATTTGGCCCCTCATTGTTGCTAGCCCATGGCTGCTAACTACATCTCTGCCTGCCGGGGCTCCTTCAAGTTGCATCCTTGTCTGGCTCAGACCATGGGAGTCACTGGCAGGTTTGGGCTGATTCTCTCCAAAAAGAAAAGCCTGTAGGTGTACACGTCATTTCAACTCTGGCCAGTTGTGGTGAAGTCAATAGGAATGTTCATGTGCTTAAACCTAATTATTCAGGCAAGCACTTGCATGGCTGGGACAAGCTCTTTTTCAGCAACAGAGAGCTTTTGTGGTGGATCTCTTGCATCTCCTTACCAAATTTAGAAAGAAAAATATGCAGTGTGGTATCGTCTGAGCAACCCACAGAGTGAGAGCAGCATCAATGTCTGTGCTTTGTGGGTTTTGTTGTTCATAATCCCTTAGGTGATGCTTAGTAAATACCTGCAGAAAAAAAAATAAACTGTTTTAAAATGAAAAGACAGTGGAAAGATGGCAGGCCCTTCCTTATTTTTAATCTAGATTTCTGGGTGTATTGCATGAGCAACTTCCCCTTATCAGGTATCAAAAAACACTTCTGAAGAAGTGATTGAAAGGAAATATGTAAATGAGATGAGAAGGACTGAAAGAAGGAGGAAGGTAAGGGTTGAAGCAGGGTGATTCCACATAACTGCTCCTATATTGGAGACATACAGAGGAATACTCCCACTTACCTTAGGGAACATGGACAGGCCGTGCCATGAGCACCATAAAGTGCAACTATAAGACAGGGCTGGAACTTGCTAGGTACAAGTCCAGGCATCTGTTGGTTTGCCATGGCAGAAGATCTTTTCCCCCAAAAAAAACCACATGTCGACCAGGAGATGCAGGGTAGGGAAAAAGACTCTATTATTTCCCCCCATTCTCTGCCCTGAGAGTACTCCCATGGTGAACATGAATCTGAATGCATGGCAGATGGGCATTTTGTTTTAGCAGGTGGCAATGTTAGTCCTTCATCAAACAGGCACTTTTTTAATCTCCTGAAATATCAGTGTTTCATGGAGGCAAGACAGATTTAGCCAGATTTTTTTGCCCTTGCCCTATTTGATGGCTGGGAAAACTGAGGCATGGGAGAAAGAGTTGGTCACTTGGGCAGGTGAAGGGGAAGTCTAAGAGCAGAAGCAGGATGTATGCTGCTTACCTCTCTGAGGATTCCCCCAAAATGCAACCGCTATCTCCATCACAGGAGAACACTTTTCTCTCGTGTGGATTTCCCAGCACAAAGGCCCTTTCGTATTAATCTGACTCTTGGTTCACCTTCGGCGTGCGGGGACTGTTTGGAGGTGAAACCTTCATGCAGGACTTCTGCTGTGAATGGACCGGGAGTAATTTACAGCCCGCCGAGTGCAAGTTGCCAACCTGGATTTCTGCTCCCTACTTGCTTTGTGTAATCAGGAAAACAGTGGTAAAGGTGGATGGGGGAGGTGGGGGTGGTAAAAAAAGAAAGATAGGGGCGGGTGGGGGGACTGAATAGGATGAGGAGGGAGAGAAGAGAGTTAAAGCGAGGAAAGAATCCCTCTCTCACGGGAGCGGGGAGCGCCGGGCTTTGTGCTGCGGGGCCCGCCGGCGGCTGCGCTCGCAGAGATTCTCCCGTGACACTTCCACGAGGCAGAGGGGGAGGAGGAGGAGGAGGTAGAGGTGGAGGAGACAAGCCGGGGGTGTGGAGCAGGGGGGGCTAGCAGAAACAAAAGGAAACCAGCTGCAGAACTTCCTGAAGGCGGAGAGGGGGCCGCGGGAGCGCGCAGTGCCGGGCGGCTGCCTGCGGCGCTGGGGAGGGGGCGGCAGCGGGACCCTGCCCGCCGTGCCTGTGGCCACCATGACCAGCGCGATCCTGAGGAGAAACTCCAGCAAGCAGGGCCTGCAGAACCTCATCAGGTGAGCACCCACCTGCCCGCAGGGGACCCGCTCCGGGCTCCGGCTGGCGCTGCCCGCACAGAGGGGCGCGGGTGTGGGGGGCGCCGGGTGGGGAAAAGCGGAGTGTGTGTCGCAACGACCATCTTCGTGTCCCTTTAAATCGTCTGAATTTCGTCCTCACCCTGATTTTCCAGCAGACTCGATGCGTTGGAAGGAAGGATAATAGATACAGCCCCCCTCCCCCGCCTCTCCTCCCCAAAAGCTGTATGAGAAAAGCAGATTTGAACTTACTGATGGCTTTTCCAGGAGCTCCCAACTGAAATAACTGAGCACAACTGTACTGTGACACTCACCTGAGCGGCTGGTTTCACCCCATCCGCTCTCCGTGCAAGGGATGTCTCAGTACGTGTCTTTTTTGTGTCCCCTGAGTGCTGAACGGTCCTGCCTAGAAAAAGGATTCTTCTTTTTTATTTTCCTGTAGGAACTGTACGTTGTGCACGCTGTGATGTGCGTTTTCCATTCAGAGATCAGTAAAGGGCCGGATCCTCCCACGGCTGCAAGCTGACACTGTTCTTTTTTTTATTTAATTGATCACAATAGTGCTTTGAACCTTTCTCTTAGAGTCTAATTGCCAGGGCAGGGAGGTGGATGGCTCAGTTGGGTTTATTCCCATTTGTCAGCCGGGGCTGAGCTGGGAAGGACGGCTACATTGTCTGCTGGCTCTGGGATTCCCTACCATGCGGTCAATCTGCTTTTCCCTGCGGGCTGGAAATGCTGCTTTCCTCTGAGGATCTAGATGATGGTGGTGTGCCATGCTGATGGCTCTGACTGGACAGAAGAGAGGCACTTCTCAACTCTTTATATTTAATTGAGCAGCTGGATGGGTGAGAGGTGGAATTAGGGAGTGCTGGACTGACATTTTACATCTTGGGTACCTCTTGGCTCCCTTGTCCTCACTGTGCCTGCTGGTCTCCAGCATAGAGGTGGAGGATGTCAATGTGGGGTTTATTTTGGACAAGCAATTTCCAGTCAATTTGGGATCTCCTTGACTAGTATTGCAGCCTCTAAACCTCACCTCTCAAATGAGTTTCCCACCTTGGAAGGAAAACAGGCTCCTACAGCCATCCAGTCCCTGCCACCTTCTCCTGTTCTAGACCCAGGGCAGTTGGCAGAAAAGCTCCCACTGGTTGCACTGGCCCTGGGTGCAAAGTCAGTGCCCAGTCTCCTGGGCAGGAGAAGGTGACTCTTCTCTATTCATCTCCTGTTTGTCCTGTTGGACTCTTTCCCTGGTCTCAGCCTGGAGGGACTAGGATCTCAGTTACACATCCCTGTTTCAGAACAGGGCTTGGTCAGGGGCTCCTGAGGGGGAGGGAAACCTCTATGGGTGTGCAGAAGGCAGAGATGGGCTCGGATTTGGGACCAGCTGGTATTGAGGGGGGCCAGGCAAATGAACTGCTCACAGCTGAGTGGCAATTTATTGTGCAGGGTGGCAGATGGGGGAGAGCAGAGAGAAGCATGTGTGCCTCATGCAAAGAAAAAGGGTGTCCAAAGAACTGTTCTCAACACAGCCCAAGTCAGAGGTGTTTTCCTGTCCTTAATGATGTTTCCAAGTTCATCCTGCTGTACATAAGGGACTCTTGGTGTCCTGGAGACTCAGAGGGGCTTTTACGAGGTGACATTTGTGCTGAGCTGGGTTTATTACACTTCATCTGGCTGAGGTTTTGCTTTGTGGCTGTGTTTTCCAGTCCTGCTTACAGACAAGGAAGGGAGTGGGGTGTGGGTGTGAGAGATTTCCATGGTTTACACACAGATAGCCTCACTCACGTTCACAGGATTCAACAGCAGAATGGGCAGGTCTGGTCCATACACAGCATATCTTGTTGTGCAGTTGTATTTTCTCCCGGAGCAGCTTCCCCGCTAAGAACGGCTGTGGGGCTGGCTCTGCAAGCCCTGCCACCTTGGCTGCAGGAACAAGCTGCTTCAGTCAGTGAATGGCTTGAGGCTCCCGGCTTGAAGATATGTTGCTGTCAAGATTGACGTGCTCTGCTTTTATCTGTCCCAAGGTGACTGCAGGCAGAGTGGTTACAGTGCGTAGGTCCTGGGCTCTTCTGATGTGTCCAAGACCTGGAGCACAAGAGTGAAAACGGCTGCTCAGAGCCATGTTTGTGAGCACTTGAGATTTTGATGTGGTGTCAAGATTTACCTGGCTGCTCCTGCTGCAGGACCTCAGCAGGGATAACCAGGGAATTACCTTCTCTGAGCATGGCTCAGCTAAGGGAGCTGCTTGTCAGCTGTCCAGCAGCTGGGTTAAGGGTTCCTGAGCTGAAACCAGTGTAAAGGTCTTGTGGCTTTTGGGTTGAAGAGCTGAGTCCCAATGCTTTAAGCATCCTGCCTCGTGGTTGATACAAGCCCCCAGCATTTCAGACAAAGGGGCCATGCCCTTGTGCAGAGCATCTCCCAACTCCCAAACATCGGTCCCAGGAGCCTGATTTGCATGAAAAGGCTTTTCCACTGACTGCTGACAGGTTTAGTGCATGCCGTGCTTCAGAGTGATTTTGTGTGCTTTGGAGCACCGGACCACGTTGGAGACACCCGCAGGCTGGAGTGCTGAGCCAGCACTCTGGGAAATGTCTTTCACCTCTGCCCAGCCTGGAGGTGGATTAGAAAAATTAGCCTTCCTTCTTCTTCCTGAAGAAGGTGCTTTGCAGAAGGTGCAAGCAGGAACGTGCCATTTACATCTGAAAAGCTGGAGACTGAAAAGAGCCCAGGGTTATGCCTTGCAACTGCAGAGCAGGAGTGGCTGAGTAATTACCTGGGAAAGGCATGAGAAGAATGGACAATTGCAGGGCTATCTACCTCCACTCCTTTGCCCCTCGTGCCCAGGCACTCCCCTCATCCGGCATAGTTTCTCTATCAGGATATCACTTGGGAAAGATTTCTCCCTTTGTAGCATGATGATCCCTTGCACACCCACAAGACTCCAAACATGAGCTGCTTTATCTTGTTATCGAGGTCTCTTTTTTCCTTATCCTTTTAATGAATTCCTATAAATAAGATAGGGATCCAGTGCCTGTCATGTCGATTCATTCAGTTCATTATCTACTCCTGCTGGAATTTTATTCTCCCCCTATTTATCGAGCCTCAAGTGTTTCACAAAAGAATATGGCTGTTTAATTAACCTACAAATCAGCCTGTCTGTAAATCAGCTGTGCCGCTCCTTGAAACCAGATTATTTGGCCTTTTGGTTGACGCTGCTCCCGCTAAGTGCTGCGGTGTCTTGCTGCAGTTGTGTCCCTGTAGCTGGGCTGTCGGTGCCTGTCTGGGGTGTGCAGCTGTGGGGTGAAGTGTGCATGCAGATGGATGTGAAGAAGCAGTACTGCTCTTGTCTCAGCTGGTTTGTTTTTTATCCAGCATGCGGGTGAATCTTGGGTACCATTAGGAAGTGAGCTGTGATTTGTTCTTGGGTGGTAAAGGGACAGTTTTCTTGCACGCTGCTTGTATGCTTCCTAGGACAACGGAGACCTGGTCCATAACAGGGGCTCCAGAGCATGGCTGCTGCACAGGCAGTAAATAAATGAGTGTCTCTAATTATAAGTCAGAAAATTGAATCACATGATAGAGCTAATTATTTACTCTGTAGGATGGGACTTTTGCTTTATCTTCTGTGAAGCCATTAACATGGGAAGCCAAACTGTGAGATCTGAAATGAATCTTGCATGCCCTTGTGTTTTGGCCTGCCATACTTGATGAAATGTTTTCCACTTCTAGCCAATGCCAACACTTATGTCTTGGCACCCATGAGGCAGCTGCATGGCCCCTTCCTTCTCCCTACAGCTCGGTACTGCATTGTCCAGCAATGCTCTTGGCAATGCTTGGAGTATCTCAGCGTTAGGGGGTACCTTTAAAATTCTCTGAACTCCTTGAATTTTGGTGTATGTCATGAGTGTAATATTTAGTTTATCAGGATATGGGGGCTCTGCCCAGCTCCACGGGATGCCTTCCTTTCTGCCTGCATGCGACGTTTCTCGAAGCTTGCCAGGATGTTTCTCAGCAGGGAAGATGCTACTCCAGTATTTCTGTCTTGACCTCCTGAGTGTTGAGCTGGGAACAAGGAGCTGGAAGCACATGGGAGGGCTGGATGGTGCTTTGATGGGGAAGAACATTTTTTTGTGGGGGTGTTTGACGTGGTCTGGGCACGGTTTGTTGCTTGGGAGATAACTACTCTGGGGGCTATTGCAGCATTGCTTTATTCCACCTCTCTGGCTTGTGGATAGGTACGGGGAGAGAGGAGTTCTTGTTGTGAAGAAGTTAAGCAGCTCTTCGCAGGGCGATGGGAAAAATGAACGTGCAGCAACAAGCCACTAGCAGAGCTGTTGTGGGGGAGAGGAGGGAGGGATGCTGGCATAGGTCAGGGGGACACAGGGCCTTCATCCGTGCAATTCATGCTTTGCAATGCTGCCTCAAATGTTGCATGAGGAGCCTATGGTCCCTGCAGGGCTTGCCCACCACAGTGCTCCTTTCCCAAATCCTCCCTATTTTGATGTTCTTATTAGTGGCCTTTATTTTTTTTTATCCTTCAGTGTCCCATCACCATGGCCAGGGCAGAACGAGTGGGCACCTTTGCAAACCCCACGAGTGGGGGGCAGATGGGAAGGGAGACACGACCAGAGGCTGCTGGCAGGGAGGAGCAGCCAGGGGAGTCCTTTAGCTAGACTGATCACCCACCCAGTGTTGCTGGGGCTGGGAGGGGATTGCCTGGGGGATTTCCACGTCCTGGTGGGGCTTCACTGGTGCCAGCTGCTTGCAGAGTGAAGCCACCACATTTTGCAAGTCAGGAGGGACCTGGTGATTTGCAACCCAGCTGAGCCGTGGGGCAGGGTGAGGGTAAGGGGCTAAGCCAGTGTGTGGTGGGTAGCCCCTCCCTGGATGCCTCATGGGATGCCCACCCTCTGCTTTCACTCCACAGACGGCAGCTCATCATTCTCTCTCCAATTGCAGCAGCTCATCTGTCCCCTCTGAGT